CTCTCTCTCTCTCTCTCTCTCTCTCTCTCTCGGATATAAAATACATATTTTTATTTCTAAAGTAAAACTATTTTTGCCCTCCATTTGAATGACCTTTTGATAAGAAAAGGAAAACTAAAAAATCAAATCAAATATTTTAATATTCATTTAATTCGTTATTATAAAATATATGGCATATAATTATAATGTATATAATATTATTAGTTCAATACAGTATCACTAGTAATACATTATTCACAAAACATCTCAATATGGTATTAACATTAACTAAATTACACAATCATTTAAATCTCTCCTAAAATAAAAATAAAAGTTTTATATAATATAAATTGTAATTATAAACACAATAAATATTGTTTTGCAGAATCGATAAAGAAATGCGTTAAATAACAAAGTGATAACTTTATGGTTTAATATATGATTACTTGTTATAACATAAAACCCTTAAGAAACTACTTTTTCAATCAGATCTATGAATAAAATTTTGCAAACTTTTCAAATGATTGTATATTTTGTACAAAAGAGCGAATAATACACAATTTGATTGTTCAATGAATTTGTTATTATATTTGGCTAATAATTAGATAACAATTCTCTCAAACCTTATATTAATCACAATATACTGGAAAAGGAGTTGTTTTGTCGATTAGCGCTAAAAGAGCTCATGAAATATGAGTGAAATATTTTTTGGTTATTTTGTTTGGAGAGAAAATAAGTAATTTTCAATGAATAATGATTTTCATACCGTATTATAAAGAATACAATTTTTCACTAATTTTCTTCACTTGTATTCAAAACAAAATAACGAATTTTTATAAGAAATAAAACTTTTCACGACTTTTAACATAAAATATAATAAACATATAGTTTTCGCAATAAAATACATAATAATATTTATTATAATAATAAAAGCATATAAAACACAATATTGTTCACAAGATATAAAAATATTAATTAATACCTAATTTGAAATTTGATTAATGATTTGTTTGAATAACAATAAAATACACGAATAGTACAGTAATTTCTATTCAAATCCTATAGTTTATTTCCTTAACATTTCATAATTAATATTATGTTTAACAACAAAAACAAAAGAAATGCTTTAAATTGAATTCAAGACCAAAATTATAATTATAATAATTGTTTGCAAAACAATCACATCTTTTGTACTTATAGTCAAACCATTAATGAATACAACATATTATAAACATATTTTATATTAATTATAATTATAAAGCATACAATTAAAAATTAAATTTGTCAATGTAAATTTATCACATCTCTACTTTGCTGACATTATTAATAATAATTTATCATTTGAGTTGCATTATAGAAAAAGTAAAATTAAGAATTATAAAAATAATCACTTACCATTTAACCATGTTCAATTATTAACTAAAGTTAACCATCTTAAATAATTTGATTTAGGTATAATCAACTAGTAGACTACTAGTAATAGCTGCCACATATATAAACATAACTAATATTCTCAAATGAGCATGGTGTAAATATTATATTTGATGCATAGGATTATTAATCACGGAATGAGTGTTAATCATAAAAACAGAAAAAAGTTATTAAAAAAGTGATAAAAAAGTTTTGCAATAAAAGTGCGAAAAGTTTTCACTCAAAGTTATTATCGATTTTACGGCACAAACGGCACAAACGCTGACATCTATTGGATTCACAGTTAAACCATAGTTTGTAAACACAACTCCCACTCCAATCAATTCATTCATAAACACCGTTACATATATTTCATGGGTTGGAATATATGGGGAAATAATGAACGATAAATTGAAGGCAAGGGGTCTTAGAGATTGAGCCCCTGTGAAGGCATGTTTCAAACGTAAACAATCTAGATTTAACCATTTAATGGCAATGACAGACACTCAACACAAATTAGTTTTAATACTACTTTTAATTCAATTATTTATTACCGCATAATAATTAATAAAACTATAATTGAATACATAATAAACACTTCAACCATATGTTCGGCAATGGGTTCGTAACGCTGTTTGTGAGCGACCCATACGTACAGTCATCTCATATGTGATGAAAATATGATTTAAATTTGGTATTGAATTGAAGTGAAGAAGTGATGAATCGCTTCCAGAGTGACCTCTGAATCACCGAATCGTATGTCTTGTGGACAACACTTACGGCCGAAGACACCCCCGAAGAAGACAATCGCCAACCCATTGGTTGGGCCGACAGACACGTGAAGGCTCGAGCGGTTCCCATCGGTGATGACAGTGAAGGTGTATCGCATCACTTGCGGATCCATTGTCTTACTGGTGGTGGACTTGATTTGGGTCTTAAGCGCCGAACTCACGGAATACCTGTTCAAAGAGCAGAAGTACGACAAACCCTTCTTCTCGGCGTACGTCAAGACATCGCTGTTTACCATCTATTTGTTGGGTTTCATTGTCTGCAAGTCGTGGCGCCAACAGTGCCCTCAACTCTGTCCCGACGGACGCCGAACCGCACAAGACATCCGACTCACCGCTAATGGCGGCCACTCTTCCTCCTCGTCGTCATCGCTGACCACAAGCGGGTCGTCGACGCCGTTGTACTCAATACTGAACTCAACCGGTGATGACGACGACTACGACAGCGGCGGTCACGCGAACGACGAGTCGCTGGACGACAGCTCCACCACAGAGACCAACGGCGCCGACGACGACGACGACCGACACGCGGAGGAGCGGGTGTTGAGTGACCCGATTTGGGTACCCATTAAGTTCAGCGCCGACAACGCGAGCGCTGCCAACAGTGAGCGAAGCAGTGGAACCGATGGCACGGAATCCGAGTCCGAAAGGAGAGGCCGTAAGAAGAAGACCGACAACTCATGCAATCATCAAAAGTCTGTGCGCTTCTCAAAGCTGACAGAAGTGCGCCAATTGTCTGAATCGCAGGCCGAAGAGGCGCTGTTGGCCCGACTCTCATATCAGGCGACGATTCGGGCTCAGGAACTGGCCGTTCAGGCGGCCGCTCGAGCCCAGCAAAACAGACTCACAGTTCAGGAGACTATGAAACTGTCTCTAGTGTTCAGTTGGTTGTGGTTTTTGGCCAATTGGTCGTATCAGTTGGCTCTGCGCTACTCCGAGGCCGGACTCGTCAACCTATTGTCGTCGACGTCGTCGCTGTTCACCATATTATTGTCGCCGATATTCCCGTCACAATCGGTGAGCGATAACTTCTCGTTAACCAAATTGGTTTCGGTGATGATTAGTGTGGCCTCAGTTGCGCTCATCACCACAACCACAACACAGGCCAACGCCGATCCACTCGATTACGTACCGGTGGGCGCCCTCTGGGCACTGAGCGGTGCCTTCTTCTACGCGGCGTATATTGTTTTACTCCGATATAAAGTGGCGAATGAAGACCACATCGATATTCCCATGTTTTTCGGTAATACAACAAATTGATGCCATATTTAACGCACAATTGGTATTAATGATTGATTTTGATTTGGTTTTGTGTGCATAGGATTCGTGGGTTTATTTAATCTGATATTCTTGTGGCCGACGTTTTTTATCTTAAATTACAGTCAAATGGAAGTGTTTGAGTGGCCAAACGGTCAACAATGGGCTATCATTCTAGTCAATGGCCTCATCGGTACCGTATTGTCGGAATTCCTATGGCTTTGGTTTGTCTACACTTTTGCATTATTTGTTAAATCATTGGTTTTTGATTATTTTGATCTACATTTTAGTCTCGCTTTTGTTTAGAAATTTTTATAACTCAATTATAGTACAGATATTTATAAAAATGCATTTTTAGTACAAAACTTTTTTATTGAATGGTTTTTGATTTTGTTTTTATTTAAATTCAAATTTAGATTTCCTTTTTTGCATATGTTTTAAATTTAATAAAAGAAATTTATTTTTTATTGTTATAAATGTCTAAATCGAGAATTGAATGAAATTATATATATTTTATGCTTTAATTCATCTATTATTAAATGCGATATATATTTATCACTTATTTTGTTGGCCTCGACTTCCTTTGCTTTCTATTTAATGCATTCAAATCCTTGTCTGTAAACCCTTGACAACCAATTCATCAAACATTTTAATTATATATAAAATATATGCTTTGAGTTTAGATATTAAATAACAATAAAAGCACAAAATTAATGCATTACTCGTTAATCTAGTATCAGATCATGTAGTTTTGAATTTCAATTAATTGTCATTTCAAATGACACACATTTTCTCGCTTTAAATTTAATCTAAATTTAATCTCAAAAACCAATTAAAAAATGAAAACTAATTTAGTTTTTAAAAATTAAAATCAATACTAAATGATTCGTCACAATGAATACTGATTTGCATTTGTCTGCCGTATGTCTGTGCGCACCCATAGGGCCTGCTTTCTCACCTCATCCCTATTGGCCTCACTGTCCGTATCGCTAACCATACCGTTGACTATACTGTTTGACGTGCTATTGAAGGGAGTGGCGTATCCGCGCCTGTTCTTCATGGGCACAATACCGCTATACCTATCGTTCTTCACGATAACACTGTTATCTCATTACGACAATTGGGATCCGTTGGCAGCGGTGCTCATGAAACTAGTCCGCCATTCGGTACTCCGCAAACCCAACGTACGGGTGTCCGACCCGTTATATACCGAACAAAGTCAGTCGCTTATCAATGAATGCAACAATAGTAGCGCTTAATTATATTATACCAATAGTTTTAGTTCAATATTTTATTAATAATTAATGTGTTTTTTGTTTCGCTTTTTATAATCATATAAAATTTACAATTAATAATTATAATTAAGGGGTAGGGAGGGAAGGGTGGGTGCGATAGGGCTGTGATATTATGATATGACAAACAAACAAAAAACAATACAATTCTAAATACAAAATGCTTTTTAGTCTTATATTTTTGGCGATTCGTATGATAGGACTGACAGTATATTTATATATGTAATGATATATAATATATTATAAAAAGACATTTTATGACCAAAATATTAATCAAATTATGAATTCGTCTCTAATTGTGTGTATATTTTGTTGTGAGTGAATACAGACTAGAAGTATATGACATTATGTTAACTAAAAATGACAATTAATTAAATAATTATTTTTTGTTTTTTTGTATTATTGTCTCTAATAGTAATGTTAATATAATATTATATATATTAAAATATTAATATATTTACAAATTGAATGTCGAAGTTATATAAAAGCCATATATTATAACAAATATATAATTAAGTTAATTGTAATCATATATAATATGTATAGATATACTGTGTATATGTATATATGATTTGTCAGTGAATTCTCACAAATTAAGTCATATTTACTGTAAATTCAAATGCTTTATATCAAGAATAGAGAGAATTAAATGCATTTATTTATACTATAGATCTAAAGACCTATTGATATATAAATTAATGTAATATATTATATATAATGTATAAATGGATGTCTAACTGTCAACAGCAGCGGTTGACATATCACAGTGACTATAATCTATTGTCTAACCATCATTATATTGGCCAATGCGTGGCGTCTACGGCGCCAATTACCAAGATCCTTTGAATGATACTTCAATTGTTTCAACCAATCCTTCGTCTCCGACAACGTCTCGCCCTTTAAACCACACAATCATTGCTTTTAATATATCATTTCATTTATAGACCAAATCAATGCATACCTTAAACAGAAGCGATTCTTTGGTCGTTTGTTCGTGTATTTCAAACATTTCGTCGCTTTCACTCTCACAGCTGACTACACTTGACTTCAAATTCATTATTTCCTATGATTTAGTGGTTAAAAACGTATACAAATGTTATTCACATGTAAAACGAGCTAAACTGTGAATAAGACATACCTTGCAGAGGGCATAACGACCCAACTTTTCCTTAATCAAGAGGAGTACACTATCGGTGATACCGGTGTTATCCCTGGGGAACACCATATCCTTCTCGGTGTCGGAGCGGTTGACTAAATCTGGCCGATAGTTCTGATTGGGTCGGCCGAGTGTCACCAATAGAGCGCTGGCCGTTAGGAACTTAAGGGTCTTTGCCTTACGATTGACCGTATAATCGGTTATTGACGTGAAAAATACTTTCCCTATTATCACGAATTGAGTTTCTTCTTGATTCCACTTCAAGATCTCGAGCGCAGCCTTTAGTTAAGGGGAGGCAAACAAAACGCAATCAATAGGTATATTGTTTTGAATTTTTACAGACATTACAATCGGAAAACAATTGCAGAGAAAAATAATTATATAATAACATGTATTCGTAAAATGGATATAAAAAACAACACGAATAGCAATACAGTATACGAAGAATTTTTATATTCTTGTTATACTGGTGTTTGAGAGAGAGAGAGAGAGAGAGAGAGAGAGAGAGCGACGAAATGTTTGAAATACACGAACAAACGACCAAAGAATCGCTTCTGTTTAAGGTATGCATTGATTTGGTCTATAAATGAAATGATATATTAAAAGCAATGATTGTGTGGTTTATCAGTTTAGCTCGTTTTACATGTGAATAACATTTGTATACGTTTTTAACCACTAAATCATAGGAAATAATGAATTTGAAGTCAAGTGTAGTCAGCTGTGAGAGAGAGAGAGAGAGAGAGAACAGGTAGTAATAAACTGGTGGCGATGTATACCTTTCTGAGTTTAATATTTCCGATATCGTCAGCGCTGTTGAGTCGTCGATGAGATGTCGATAAGTTGGAGATTCGCCGCCATATTCTGGTAGTGGCGCCGATCGTACCCTTTGTCTGTTGGTTGATGTGCTCGAGATGTAGTTCCACTTTCTGTTGCGATTCCCGTAACGCTTCCCTATCTCTGTGATGATATGGCGTCACTTTGTAGAGACGGTTCAGTAGTAATGGATATCTGCGGACAAACAGACAAACCGTTTTCTATTAGTTTTTATTGCACACAATAACTGAGAAATATTATCATTGATTTGTTGCCTAAATTAGCCATCAATGAAAATAATGAGATATACAGAGATGTAGTCTTTTTTATAGTTTCATATCACTAAACAATACAATCATTTTAATTGCAACGAGTTTTTGGCCGTTAATCTAAAAACAACTATTCCTATCATCATTTGGCAGTACATTATGGATAGTATCCAAAATAATTCCGTTAGATTATAGACAGTGTATGCGATTGTGAGGGCAGTTATGCAATGGTAAGTGTGAGGACATACTTAGTGACTCTCTGGACCGGCACCACCAGAAACGACCTCAGATTCATTCGTCTCAATAATGTGTTCTCCATTTGGGATACTCTGAGAAATATTCGCAACAATTCCTTCTCCTTCTCCAAGTGATTGAGCAGAAGAGCTGCCGATCCCTGTCTCACACAATACACTTCAAACGAGTGTAACATCGATGACGAGTCCCGGAATAGTTTGCCGATATTTACTGTCGTGAAGTCCTGTATGAGAGACCAAATGGTATTAATTGATGTGAAGTGAGAGACAAATAAAACATTTTTAATTGAATGTTGTTTTTAGTGTTTTCTAGAAACTCTCATATAAATCCTGATATGATATAAGTTATATCAGTTGATGACATCTCAACCAAATTATATGTGTTTTTCTTCTCAAACTAAATGAAAATCATTTTTTTTGTCTTTTTTGTGCTTTAATTTTTTTAATGACATAATCTTTGATTAGATATTTCAAACATACGATAATGTAATATATATTTGAGAATTAGATTAAAACTATAGAAAACTATTTATTATTATTATTATTGACATTTTAAAACTGTTATATTTTAGTGTGACTTTTAATGGGCTTTTCAACGATATAAAAAATTAAAACTTTAAAACTGAGAGACAAATGTTATAAATTTGCTTATAATCTGATTAACTGTTCGTATAATATATACTTTTTTGGGAAATATATTTAACTTTATGAAATTAATTCTCAAAAAATAGCATTTTATAAAACTAGAAAATAAAACTTCTTTCTAATAACGAGAAGACAGAGGAAAACAAAAATAAGAAGAGAAGCAAAACTTGTTAACAACAGTTGTAATACAATTAGTGTCTGTAAAGTGTATGTATGGGCACAGGTGTATGGGCACAGGTGTATGGGCACAGGTGTGTTCACAGACCTCATCTCCCTGTTCAGTGGCGATATCGATGGCGTCCTGCAGTTTCTCCGAGAACTTAGAGTTGACTTGAATTAATTCATCCAAATTGAGAAACACTCCTCTCAACTGTTCCTTCGATAGGAGACCCGCTATTTCGATGGGACGGTAAAACTCTTCGCGTATTATCCTTAAGTCGCGGCCATATTTAAACTCCGTGTCGACGATCTCTGAGATGATCTCTTTGCGTTCGGACCTCTTTTTGTCGCATCGATGACAGAACAGCGGGTAATGGAGAAGACCCGACACGTCGTCCTCATTGGGGTCGACATGCATTTCGCAGTCTTTTTGTGTGAGATTTCATTAGAAGTGCAAAAAACAACACAATATTTAATTATTATTCTGAATATAATTCAAGTTTTTAATTAAACACAATTTTTTGTTGTTTAGTTAAGCTTTTTAATTAAGCTAAATATAGGGCTATAATTAAGTTATTGATTTATAACGGGAGGGGAAGGGATAGAGAGGGGAATGGCATTTGGGATGAGATTTAATTATGAAATGAGATCAAGTGTCAGATAATTACCGGCGCATTGATGCTCGACCTCGTCGTTGAGACTGAGTTTCCTAAGACGGGAGGGTTTGCTGGTCTCCGCGCCGACACCCGAGTCGTTGCGTTCGACCAGTTGTCCGACGGATACAGAGTTACTGATCGCACACTTCATTATGTCGTCCTCGATGTCGATCGACGAAGAAGTGGTTGCCGTCGATTCCGTCGACGAATTGCTCACATTTGAGGTACGATTTCGTCGGTTTGACGACAAACTCGTTTCCATGTGTTTTGTGTTCATAATTGGATTCTCTTCGATGTCTTCGATCACATCAATCGCTTCCAGTATCTCGATGTTGGCGTCGATGTTAGTCACGTCCACCAGAATGTCTTCGCCCACTCGTTCCTTAGCATCTTCGAGGAACTCGAGGATCTCGTCTTTGGACGCGCCGTCAAATATGGACTTTGCGTTATCCAGACTGCTATCGGTGTCCACATAAATGGATTCGTTGTCCAACTCTTCGTAGATGTGCTCCTCTAAGGACTCGAAGGGGCCATCAGATGATACGTTGATTACAATCTTGTCATTTGGATCAGAATAGAAGACAGTGATTGGGCTCTGACTTAAAGACTTCTTGAGAGTGGACTCCGTGTTAAGGGAATCAGTGGACGATTGAGCGCCGGAATCGTAGAGAGAGGACGAAGAATTGCTGGAACCGATCGACTCGAATGGTGTCAAAGTGTTGCAGACATTTGTTTCGATGTTTGTCTGATTAATAATCTTATTGTTTGATCCGTTTGTGATGGAAATGGTGCACAAGAATGGATTCATTTGTCGATTACTATTACCACTAGTGGTGTATTGAGAGCACTGGTCGTCGTTTCCGTCAATCTCTGGCATAGATTTTGCGGATTTAATTCCTTCACAAGAGTTCAAATACAGACCACTATTACCACCGCTATTATCATCACTTGTCGACTGATTCGTTGTCAATGTTTTGCTCAATTGATTAAAATTCAAAATTTCGATTTCCGTATTATTCATATCAATGCTATTATTATTGTTATTATGATTACTATTCAAGTGATTATTATGACAACTATTCTTAGTGTTTGTTTGCTTTTCAAGTCTAACAACATTAGTATCGGATAATACTTTTTGCTTATAATTTGAATGATTATGAGTTTGGATATGATTTTGAATGCATTTTTCTTGACTAACCGGTACTAATGTTTGCCTATCTGTGACTTTTTGATCGCCAATCGATGCCCTAATGGGCCTAACATTGACGGATGGATTGCTTTGATCCGTCAAACTCTTGGTTGGGCTTGACTTGTGAGCCCTGGCCTGCGCTTGCGGTGGCGATCGCGACACTGCAGCCACCGGTGCGCTCGTCCTACCACTCAATGGCATCGACTGCTGCGGCGCCGACCGTTTAGGCGATGTTTGCGTCGATGGCAACGGAATGGTCTGTTTCTGTGGCTGTTGTTTGCGGTCATCCCTGGGTTTAGCTACCGGTGCCGCACCGGGCGATGGTTGCCGTATGACTGGAGGCAAATATTTGCGCTCAACAATAGGCACTCTTAACAATTGCTGGGCGTTTGAACTAATTTCACGCACACCACCAGCGCTGACACCAGTGGTGGTTGTGGTTGAGATGGTAGGGACAGGAAGTGTCTGTTTTATGGGACCCACTGCTCCTCTTAACTCCTGGTTCACTGCGTCCGACACTGGCTTACAATTATTGTTACTATTCTTACGGTTTTTATTACTGCTATAAATAATGCTATTATTGTTTGAATTGTTGTCGGGTTTAGGGTTGAGGTCTATGTGTTTGACACGTTGTGTCTGTGCGGCCAACTGTGCGGCCAACTGGGCTCTCGTGGCCAGCGATGGTGCGGTGTTCTCGCCTATTGAGTGGGAGTACAAAATCATAGACAATGAGATACGAGACAAAACCGGAACATTATTTTTACATTTAATTTCCATCCTTTTTCTGACTCCTAACACAACTCAACTCTATTTTATTTTTATGTTTTTCAAAATATTCACAATTTTGAGTGGTATTAAAGCAAACCACTCTTGAGAGTTGTTTATCATTATAACGGTTTGTGTCCAAACCAGTCAAACAAGTCATATATGTATTATATCAACACATGAGATATGTTTTATGCCATTTTACTCAATGCCCAAGACTTACATAAGACATAGATTTTATGCCAAATAAATAAAGAGTAGTTTTTTGGCTGCATTTTTTAAGAGGGCATTAGAAATGATAATCAAATTCTAATTATTGTGCGAATGCTTATAATGTTTGGGTTATAATAATAATACTATAATTTCTTATGATTTTATGACTTTTTCTTACTTTATATCGTATGCACTAATAGTATAATAACTTTTAAAAATGAATTTTTGCCCATAAATTAACTCATATTCTTAATGTATAATATTATTATCATTATTACTATATAGTGATTAAATATTATAAATAAATGCTGACAATAAATGCTTGCGAGAGAAATCGTTAGCAAAAGGTTAGGGTAAAAAAGCAACAAAAATAATATTAAATTAAAATAAAGCTATTTTTCGCCATCAAATTCGTGCTCAAAAAATTCGTATTCAAATTGTATTTTTCCACTTTAAATATCCATTCAATAGTATATCTCTTGTTTTTTATTCTTGACTTTTTTTCACTTAAATATACAGTGTTTTTACAACAAAAAAAATGGGATCAAAAACACATAAAAATCGTAGTTAAATATAAAAGTAAATACAAATACCAAAAATTAGGATAAAGTATATTAATATAATTTTCTGATAATCATTATATCATTATTTGATTGTAAATTAATATTGTATTTGTAATAATGATTACGAGAAAAGCGATGCAATTTTCTTATAACTCAAGGATCTCTTTATTTGTATTTTTATTATTATATTTTATTAAACTTAATATTTGTTGTTTGTTTGTTGGCTGCAAATCATTTGGTTGTGGAGGGGACGGGTGGTCGTCAATCATACAATTGCTTATATATCACACACACTATAAAACTGAATCCACCCTTACTTAAGATACCCGAACCCTTACTTCTTACAAATACTATTAAATATTGCTATTTAATTGCTAAATAAATAACTCTCTCTCTCTCTCTCTCTCTCTCTCTCTCTCTCTGAGAAAAACACGAATACATTAATATTAATTTTTAAACTAATTTATTGCTGTTATTATAAATTTTATTTTTACGTAAAATTGTTTAATATATATCAGTGAATATCTCGCCTCAAAATGCCATACAATTGTGAAATTGTCGTAAACGCCCAAACCATTGAAAATTGAATTTTTATGAACAGTTACCCAAACCGTATGCAAACACTAAGAAATGTAGTGATATTTAGTGGTCACTGGAAGATTAGGTCAGGGATGTAGGCATAAGTATGTATGTATGCACTGACAGCACACGGGTTTGCATAATTGATGCCAACCATAGCATATACTTATGCTTTTGGATGCAAATGAACGAGAAATGAATGGCTCATAATATCATAAGATTGAGTACTAATTATCCTCTCGTATGGCAAAGAAGAGGCGCCACTAAATAGTTTGCTGATTGGGATCAATGGTTAGCATAAATGGTCATTAAATGCACATCAAAATCGCTTTTTAAAATGTTTATTCATTCAAACTCATGATATTAAACCGATAAATACTTTTATAGTGAAGATTTATTGGCACTATTATAATCGCATCTAACAGTTAAGCATACATTTGCTTTTCAATTATAACTCTATATATATTATATAAAAAACACAACATTATTATTATATTCACAATATATTTGAATAAATATTTGATAATAATTGTAATACTGACCTATGATTTAAATTTATTTCAAATCTTTTGACAATCAAAGCATCAAATGCCAGAAAGCTGGTGAATATGTACATAATATCATACTTATAATAGAATTACATTTTTAAATTCAATGCAATCACAAATTTTAAAAATATATTTCAATTTTTGTATATAATATGTTCAACTTTTTATTATTATACAAGAGTTGTCTTTCAGGAAGAATAACACAAACGTATTGATAAATAAATGTATTCTCAATACAATCAATACAAAAGCAACAGATAAATGAGAAATATATTGAGTAAATATTGGAAACTATTGTAAGCGATGAGTGAATAGAGAAGTCACTGAATACAGTAGACCAGAATATTCTGGATGTGATATAGGGGGGAGTGTTTATAGTGTATTGAATTCAATATATAATATCAATATGTTTATTGGTTGGACTCTCGTGTCATATGATCTTTGTTTTGAGCGTTTAATTGAATTTTTACTTTTTTATATTCAATATCTCGTTGTTGTTGTGAAATCATTAGGGAATTGAGAGTCAAATTAGATTAACATTAATTATATGTGAAATGTATTGAAAAGACTGGAGAATAGATATATGGATAGAGAAAAGGCATTTACGGAGTATTAGATAAATGGTTGGCTGAGAGGAGTTGTGTGAACCAGTTATGACCAGAACAGGAGTTAACTATTGTTTCAATCATTAATCAATTGAGTGCTCGAAAAAAGCTTTTACTGATAATTAATCAGTCAGACCGTCAAACCCGGCTTATAGCTGTCCGCACAAAATGTTAAACAATATATACATCTTATTAATCTATCTATAAATATAAATGCATTCTCGCTATTAATAAATTCAAACATTTTTGTTTGAAATTTACTTTTTAAATACTCAATAAGTTCTCAATAAGTATTTAAAAAGTTAATACAATATTATAATTGCTGTTATAAACTCATAAGTAGTTTAAATGCTTTGAAAACAAAAACTCAATATTCTGGGCTTAAGATGTAGTGTTTGGGTAAATGAATGGCGAAAATGACTTTAAATGCGTTATTAGGCAACAGAATCTATAAATAAAATTAGGAAAAACTAATAAATTATTTGGAAAAAAGGTCTAATCTATTGAGAAATTGATGTGATTTAAATACACAACACATTAGGGCCGCCGCTAATGTCAAGTGTATGTGTGTTATGTCTAAAACACAATTTGCTTTGCATTAAAAAAACTGAACATTTAGTTATTTATAATAGTGTAACAGTTATAACGATGTAAATTAAGTCAAATGCAACAAAAAATAAATTGATGTGTTTTTTGTGTGCTATTATGTAACGCGAGATAAGAAATTAATTGGCGCTCAGATATAACTCCAGCGTTGCCTTAATTGAATCGATTGAGATTAAAGTGTACACAAAATATGCCAAAATCTCACTGACTTTTTAGAGGGCACTTCACTCCCCCTTCATATCTTGTTGCCGAGTGTCCATCAAATTCATTCAAACCGCAAAACATTGTATAAAACAAGCAATTTTGTCATTTGAGACACATTTATGAGAACTAAATCCATTTCATTAAAACATAATAGCATTGTATTTAAATTATGGTTAAAATTTTTCTGTTCACAAATCAGACTAAATTTTAAAGCCATTCAATCACCACAACTGATGTAACTATTTTGTGGTTAAATATCGGTTATCTATCAATTAGTGCCATGGTCAATCATTGGGTTTGGCAACTCATTAAGATAACAATTTATAATGATTTTCCTATTCTTGTAATTAAATTCCCAACGAATTTGTCACAAAATTCTGTTGTTTTAATTTGTAAATGAAATAAAATAATTAACATAAATATAGAGTAGAAATTGATTTAAAGACAAGACTTGCTTATTATGTTTCGGAAAACTTATAGTACTGTATATGCATTTAAAAAAGTAAAAAACAACTAACTTATGCCATATATATCATGCATATATTAATAATACACGTAATATTTATTTGTATTTAATTAATATTCAACTTAAATACATATCAAATGTTGATAGATTAAATATGATATCAATGTCAGCGCAGTTATAACGGTGTATATATTGTATATATAACTGAATAATTGAATGCAATTCAAGGAAACTCCTAATTAAGCCAAATATTTGGACTCTAAATGATAGCCAACAAAACAGAGGCCAAGCCTTTGGCGATTTTTGAATGGTTTGCATTTTATTTCAATTCACACATACATTGTCTTATCATAAGAAATATCAAATCATATTTTTATAATTCTTTATCCATTATTAATAGCATTCTCTCGTTTGTCAACTTTTTGGCGACAAAAAAAGGGTTAAAAGTTTTCTATCATTAAAATAACCATTGGATGAATCACTGGATATAAATATATAATTGTTTTTGTTGTTTAAATTTATATTAAATCCTATTTGTCATGTCTTTTGTAAGCAATTTCATGCAAAATTCACAACTAATTTCCCTACAATTTATGTAATACTGTTGTGATAGAGATTAACTGTAATATTATATGTCGTGTTTTAGTTTGTATTTTTCTCACAACTAAATTCTATTCAATTAATTACAATTAGAGAGAGAGAGAGAGAGAGAGAGAGAGGGAGAGAGAATTTTATAAGCTAGAAATGTTATCAAAATGATAAAGGATTCATTGAACACATATATCATAATTTTTATGCCCAATAATTATCGCAATTTATTTTATTTCTTTTTAAGCAATGATTTAACGAAAAGATTTTATAGTTTTTGCCAAAGGAATAATTATCATCATATTTTACATTAAATTTTATTTAAATTTTACATTAATTTTATGCGATAACTATAATGAAAGGCAAATAAATCATAAAATATTTAATTTATACTCAGAGCCAACAAAAAACAAAATAAACAAAAAATATGTGATAATTACTGTTATTCTTGAGAATTATTACACATTTTTTACTCAAAATGTTTCAGTCAATAAAAAAAGTGTTCAAATGATTACAGAATTTGTGTATAACTAGTAATTAATGCATTAATGAAAAACACATTTTCGTTTGTTTTCTAATTGATATACGAATTTCATGGTTCGCTATAATATAATGCTTCAAATCATTGTTAAAAATGCATTTTTTATAACAATTTGGTTGAAATGTTAACATTAAACACAAGAAGAAGAAAAATTCCTAATGTATTCATAAAACTCTAAACACGTGTTGAAAGACATCAAAGAATTCATACATTATTCCAACGAACGCTCATTTTGTCCATAAAAACCCCTTTTTCTTCATTACTGAAAGTGTTTTCCATTACTTCGAGAATTATCTCATTTTCCCCCGAAATGAACGCCTCGTTGTCTTTCCCTTCCCTCTCATCCAAACCACTCATCTCTTCGAGTAATAGAAAATTCTGTAAAATTAAAGAATTATATTTTTGAAATGAAGTTAAAATTATCAAATCACCTGGATACGTTTGATGACTATAATTAGCTCACTGAGAGCAACAATAGCCATGGGTGCAACTTTACCCATTGACCAAAGCATAGAATTACAGTAAGCAATAGTGGCAAAGGCTGTCTCCGCCGACAACATCCCACCCATCAGTATATACAGCTAAATTCATCCGAAACTGGTATGCGTAAAATGCGAATAAAAACTGACTGGGTGTACATATTTGTTTAGACTGAAGTCGTACAACTTCGGTCTATTACTAGTTCATAAAACCATATGTATTTCAGTATAAATTGATACTTGGTATATTTTTAAAATTGATGTCTTTACAGACTAATATTTCCATAGAAAACAATGGGAACTTATTGTCTTATAAACTGAAAATACATAAAATGTCACATAAACTTACAATAATTCATTAACTAATAATGTAATTATGGTAAAATTTTATACATAAATATGAATCAATAGTGTGCATATGATAACAAAATATTTTTGGCGATCGAGTTATTATACGAAATATTAATTCGTTTTTGACATGTCGTTTTTGATTTTCAGGATCGAATATTCTGTCTTCACCATTCAAACCAGCTTTAAAAATAAGTCGACACGTATATTTTCATTTCAAAAAAATCGTATGTATTTTCAGTTTATTAGACAATAAGTTTCCAATGTTTTTCTATGGAAATATTAGTCTGTAAAGACATCAATTTTAAAAATATACCAAGATAGTTAAATATGACTTTATGTATACCAAAATACTTGATCATTATCTGGCTTCAACATGCTGAAGTCAGATTTGAAATATGTACACCCAGTCAGTTTTTATTCGCATTTTACGCATACCAGTTTCGGTTGAATGTAGCTGTATATTAAATTAATTCTTGTTATTAACTTATAAACAGTTAGTAATTAGTTCTAGATAATTAAAACAATGTTAGAAATATATTTAATCATAAAATTAAACTAATTTGAATGTAATTAACAGAATATCACAGAATATTCTGCACACAAAGCATGCATAGAGAGAAGAGGGACTCAATATTTGGGACGTTATTATTGGTCGACAACTGAATTGAAGTATTGTTTGTAAACAAGTATTGAATGAAAGCATTGATTGTCTGATTGTCTTCACAATTGGTTTAACCATTAAATCAGATGATTGTGTGATTGGTTTGGATGTGTTGTTGCGGTTGTGATCTTCGGTGATGTCTTCGTTGGAAGCGTTGAGTGTCGACAATAAGCGGCTGAAGAGTGAACTCCAATATTACTGCAAATGTATTGAATTGTATGAGAATTACAGAAAATGTTTGCTTTATTTCGACAACAATTGTATTTGTCTTCAAAACAGAGACTTTTATTTCGTTATCCAAAGCCTTGAAAACCAATACAAGACTTCCTTAAGACCTGACCATCAGTTTGAATACCAATTGTCACCAAAACACTCGTCACTCGCCGACCAATCATCGCTCGGCACCACTCCTACCGCCTCTGCCGTCGACAACGAGTCTTCATTTGTGGCCCAAAACCTGTTCAATGACTTCATGTGTAAGACTGAAGAGTCGACCGACTATTCAGAGGACGACAGCGAAGACGACGACGAAGACAATGAAGACGAAGAGTCTTCAGACGGCGAGTGTCTGCCCGACAACAGCCAAGTGTGGCCTCCGATCGCAACAACGGCTACAACAGTGGCCAACACTCGGGCACCGAAAAGGAGGACCGGACGGCAGCCGCGGACCAGACGGGGCCCGAAGGCCGGCACCACGTCTACGGCCCCCACCGGACGCAAGCCTAAGCCGCACGCATGCGATTGGATCGGTTGCGGGAAGACATTCCGCGACAATCTGGCGCTCACAGCACACGTACGGCTGCGGCACACGAATGAGCGGCCCTTCGCGTGCGACAAATGCCCGAAGAGTTTTGCCGACAAAAAGCATTTGACACAACACTTGAAATACCACTCATCGCAGGAGCGCTACAAATGCAAGTACACTGACTGCCCCTTTGAGACCCGACACCCGAAGAACCTGTCGGAGCACTACGTCCGCCACACGAAGGTTCGCAACTTCCGGTGCGACCAATCGGAGTGCGGCAAGAGTTTCATCACCAAAAAGGACCTGAAGAGACACGAGAGCACTGTTCACAGCGATGAGCGGCCCTATGGCTGCGATTGGCCCGGATGTGAGGCCTCGTTCAAGAACCGGCAGCACTGGAACAACCATCGACTCACGCACTCCGGTGTCCGCCAATTCAAGTGCGAGTTTGTCGGCTGTGCCAAGAGTTTTGTGACCAGAAATACGCTCTTTCAACACAAACAGGAACACATCAAACCCTATGTGTGTGTTTGGCCCGCATGTGGCCAGAGGTTCGGCAATAACCGGTCACTCAAGACCCACATCAACGAACATCAGGGCATTCGGCCCTTTAAGTGCGAGTTTAGCGCATGTTTTCAGTCTTTTTATAGTAAACCACAACTCAATCAACACGTGAAGAGCGCACATAAATACACGTTAAATAACACGTGATTTATATAATAGTTATTTATTTGTCACAATTTTATTATAAATAAAATTCTTGTTCACAGTATAATTAAATGTAATCTTTTTTGTATATTTATATTACGTATTTAATTGTGCACTAAATTTAATCTCAAATATATTTAATATAATTAATATTTAAATCCATTGACACAAACGTATGGTAATTGGTTTATGTTAGAAATCATTTTAATAAATCATAACATTTTAAAGCATTTATTTGTAATTATTATGATTGGGTGTAATGAAAATATTAATTTGGATTGGATTTTATATTTATTTACTGCAAAAATAAAATCATAATGATTACTAATTTTGAGTGTACTATACTCACTTATTTTCACTATTGTATTTGCACATTCCATACAGTGAATATTTCATACAGTGTTCACAAATATACACCAACTTTGCGAACACTGCATGTACAGTACTGTATATCCAATGTTCACTGTATACACAAATATATAGTGTTTTATGAATTGACTATTTAAAAGGTTTTCATTGCATCTATCCTGTGTAGGTATATTTTGTCAAACATTTTAAATATTCATAGGTATTAAGTAATACAACGTATATTCACTTAAACAGTCTGCCCTCGGTTTTGACATGTCATCGGGCTGTAAAAAATATGTTAAAATCAAGTACATTAACAATACTAATGTGCCTTAGAACTTAGCGGTGCTAGTGAAACTATATTTTAAAATGCCGTTCTGTCAAAATCGCGTATGTCCAACCAAGGGCAGACTGTATTTACTTAAATATTGTATCAATTTAGTTAATACTAGTTATTTAGTTTGTTGCGATCCGAGCGGTCAGTATTGGACTGAACGGGGATCGGGAATATTGCGGAACCGGTCGCTACTTATCCACCAGACCTTAGGGTCAAATAAGTACACATTTGCCGATGAATGACAACATTTATTGATTGTATGTATGAATGAGTGTGTGATTGAGTGAAGACATTGCGCGGCACTCAGGACTGACTGAGAGGGAAGTTAACACATCAATGAAGATACAGTGCTTGGAATCGGGGCTTATATACCGTGTGTTGTGTAGTATTTGCATAAAAGTACATTAGATAAACTGTACATAAGAATCGTATGTAAATTGTATGTATAGTGTAGTGTATTACATGGCAATTGTTAGGTATGTTATAACAGGTAATAACTGGTATTAACAGGTATATTGGGTAACAATTGCTGGGATTTGAGGCTATCTGAGCCGATGGGGTGTATTGTGCGGGACAGGTATGCAGTGGTGATCATATGTCTGTCACTGCATGAATACATGGGTAACCGAAGGGGTATTCAAACGGCAATAAGTTAATACTTATAGTACTAGTAACACTTATATACGTAATAATGTAAAAGTATATAAATAAATAATAGAACTTATAAATATATAGACTTAATGAAAAGAAAAGCACAATGAGCAAGAGTATAATATACCAAGTTAATTTGCTCTTCAAATTGTGAAGTGGGTGCAAAGGAATGCGTTGAGATTGACTGCAATTATTTACAAATCAACGCTCTTTTGTTGTATAATAGCTTTAATGAAGTTTCATTAACTAATAAATAATTAATTAAAAACATATTTGAATATATTTTTAGCAGAATTTGCGGCCAAAAGTATAAAATGCATAAATGATGTGAAATCGAGTGAAGAAATGATTTGTTGAGATCTTTTGAAAGAATATATCATTTCAATGATGAGTAAAAGCGTTGATAGAGTTATGCCAGAGATTAAGATCCAAATGAGTCCAGCGATGTCTCCAACGGATATGATATGAAAAGTCTTCTCAACAATGGGTTTGTCGTATATATCGGGTCCGAAACCCAAAGGTTTCAATGATTTGCTTACTTTATACTCATAGACACCGTTTTGTTGCATACGTTTCACACTAATCAATAAAATACAATATTATTACTATTAATAAATATAATGCGTTTAATTTTGATCAAAATATTTGTAGTTATTTTATATATTTGTATCTAATTTTATTTTTAAGCCCCATAGGTTAACATTCAAAAGTTGCTACTTTTCTTATCTTGCTAAATGAAAACGTGTAATCCCATCATAGTGGTTATTAATTATAATAACACTTTAACATCTTCTCATTGGAACCCTAGGTTAATTTACCCTTATACAGGTTTTAAGATTTTACATTAATGGACTCCACCAAAACAAACTCAAATATTTTTAAAATAAAAGTACATGGTCTAGACCAGGATGTCTGAAAAGGTAGGCTTTGCCTATATGCTCCCATAGACAATACATTACAGTTTTGCTCAATTTCTGCTCATCTAGACGCCCTGGTCTAGACTCTAGAAATTCAAATTATATTACCAGATACTCATCAACTCTTGGAGTTTTAGTTATGATATGGTCAATATGGCTGCCCTTTTAGTTCAGAAATAAACCCAAACCAAACTAAATTTCTCAATTTTTTCATAAACATAACATTAAATTTAAACTTATTTTTTTTAAATGCTGCCATTTTTCTTAATTGATTTTTGCTCTGTTTAAGAATCTGTAATCAAAATTTTTGTGCGGCTTGTGTTTTACATATGATTTCTCATTATTTCAGATTTATTTGTTCTCAAAATATATTACTTTTTTATGAATATTTTCTAAACTAAAACTATGTGAAGCAATGGATTGATTCCAACAATAGCTCAGCAATAAATTTTATGATTATTAAGTGAGAAACTGTACTCACATTTTATTGAGTTGATCGGTAAACGATTGATTTAATCGATCGCTATTTACTGCCCAATAGTATAAGGATTTAGTCGAATCACTACTCGATATATGATAGTCAATGCCCTCCCGATAGGCTTCCCTTTCATCCCGATATACGGCTTGGATTTTTCTTATCTTATAATATCCAACAAGTTTTGGTGCCATGAATACTGATTTACCCGACAATATATTCATAATAATGTCTCTACTTAACGATTCGTTTAATACAATAGCAATGGGATCTGCGAATACAGTTCTGTGGCCTAATTTTATGACAATATCGTTGCGGTCGGAAAAATCGAGAAACGCTTGATTCATAAAATCGACACTAAATGGATATATGTTTAAGTGTTTCCACTGCTCTTTGGTGTGCAGATCATCGTATGTCTCAATCGTGTCATATCTCTGGTCCGCAATCATAATGTCGTATATTTTGGCCGAATATAGAGATAATAATATTAAGCAAATCATAAGCCATAGGCCGGCAAAGAGTCGATCAAAGGGTTTAGTAATGTGTTTGACAGTAAAATAATCGGATAAAAGGACAGATAGATATCCCCACATTGTCTCAAAACCGGTTCTGACGGATCGGTATTTAAGGCCAAATACGGAACCGATGGCCAGAATTGATAATAATATAAAGACATAAATGTTATAATCCCAACAATCAATTATTTCAAAAGCCGACCGCTTTTCTGTAAATTAAGAAATCATAAATTATATACAAATTTATTGATATTAAAATGAAATGCAAACCCAATAATGGTTTGCTTATAATGACATCGCTATCCATTTCACCGATATATCGGCTAAAGTTATAGCCCAAAAACTTGACCACAATATCCCACACTTGAATGGTTTGAAATGGAAATATAACAATATATGGCAATGAATTCTCCCCCGTATAGCCTAATATATTTATCCCCAAATCCATAACTTCTGCCAAGGTTTTCACGTGTGGTTGTATAATAAAGCTGTTTTCATATCATATAATTAAATATTATATTATTTGAATTTTGTATAATATATTATACAAATACTTAGTATTGATATATCGGGCGAATGTCCGCAACAGTACTATAAATGGACCGCAATATTGATAGCATAGGACGGATGCGTTATTTTCGGGACGTGTTGTCTGCCATTCACTGTATGTGATTAGCGGCGGATACGCTATTGTATAGAACTCTAACGGTGTGTTCGTTGTATTGATGGCCCAATCGCTGGTGTTTTGGTAAGTATTGAGACGAATGCAATCATTCTTCACTTTGAAATATTTTTCGCACATATTTCACAAATAGTTTAATGATATCTAAAATACTGAATGTTATTCTGCATTAAATCTCTTTATTATATGATCTATAATTATTCATAAATAGTTTGACTTTTTTATTAGGTTTATTTAATTCATTATAGTCAAAATTTTAAAGCTTGATTCAATGGTTGAAATTAATCTTATGTAATTATAGTTATGATTAAACCTAATGAAAAAGTTAAGCTCTTTATGAATAATCATAGATCATATGAAATATTTGTGACATTTATATACTGTACTGTCAAACAAGTTATCCGGAAATCTCTCCATAGGAAATAGTTATAGGAAACGAATCCAACGTGTTTTAGATGATAAATACAGGTGTCTTAAGTCTGGAGAACACTTTCTCAAACGATGTAATGTTGTTATGTGTAAAATTGTTTCCAACATTTAATGTGGAAATTGCATTATTAAAATTGTTATAAATATAACTTAGGTTTGTCAGTTTAAACAAGAAACACCGCGTGAAGGTAATAATAGTTTCTTACCCTTTTTATAAGTGGTTGGCTTTCAGTCTATCCACATTAGTCACCACTCATTTTTAACCACAATTCAGTATGAATAATGTGATTTATAGGATCGTTCTGCCCTCCCTTCCCCCTCCCTCCGCCCCCCGCTCTATGGAAGTTAACATGGGATTACAGCATAAGTCTATGGCTATACTTTAACATGGGCAATCCCGTTGCATTAAATCTAATTCAAGATAAAAGCTACACAACAATGCTTGTTTGTGGAAGTGCAAGCGGCTCTCTTATGTCCCCACTTTTGATTTACCGTACTTCTACTCTGCCTAAGTCTGGTCACATGTATTGAATAGACGATTATTGTTTACATTTCATTTGGTGTTAATTATTGATCAATTTTATGCACATTTTTCATAATTAATTAGTAATTGAATTAGCATTGCCCATATTATCTCTATGGCATAGGG